TTGATCAGTCGGTGAGTGAGTGAGTGAATGAATGAGTGAGTGGATGAGAGATTGAGTGTGTGAATAAGTGAACCCATGAGAGAGAGAGAGAGTGCTGCCCAGAGCCAGCGATTGAACTCAGACTCTCAGCTGCGATGGCTTTGTGTCTCAGACACGGCGATTAGGAGTGTGAAGGAACTCCAGGTCAGTGAGCCAACTCACTCATCAAAGATACAAAGATCCCCCCTATAGCCTGGACAGACTGTAGGGGCAAGTGCTATTAGCGAGCACCTATGAAGGCCGGAACGGTACACGAGGGGATGGGTGGCCAGCAACCACGCCCGACCGCCTTTGTCTCCCGGGTAGCGATGTTTACACACTGCATCAGCTACTCATTTGAGGCTGAGTCGACCCAGGGAAGGGACATGACCGGTTCAGATCATCGTCACCGGTGTTGGCCGTGAGCGGGAATCGAACTCGGGGTTCGCCGGGTTTGTAGCGCAGCGTAGCGCTAACCGCTGCGCCACCACTCCCCACGGCCCCCAACACAGCTTAGCCACAGCTCATCGCTGTCCCCCCTCCCCCCCCCGACAAACTGGTTCTAGATTTTATCCCCCCCCCTCCCTCTCCACTATACACTACACTACTATACACTACACTACTATACACTACACTACTATACACTACACTATACACTCCACTATACACTACACTAATAAACACTACACTACACTAAACATTACACTATACACTACACTACTATACACTACACTATACACTACACTACTATACACTACACTATACACTCCACTATACACTACACTATACACTACACTACTATAAACTGCACTACTATAAACGACACTACTATACACTCCACTATACACTACTATACACTCCACTGTACACTCCACTATACACTACACTACTATACACTCCACTATACACTACTATACACTACTTTACACTCCACTGTACACTCCACTATACACTACACTACTATACACTACTATACACTACACTATACACTACACTACTATGCACTCCCCTTTACACTGCACTACTATACACTACACTACTATACACTACACTAATATACACTACACTACACACTACACTCCTAAACACTACACTATACATTACACTATTAAACACTACACTACTAGACACTACACTATACACTACTATACACTCCACTATACACTACACTACTCTACACTACTATGCACTACACTATACACTACTATACACTACTAGTACACTGCACTATACACTAATATACACTACACTACTGTACACTCCACTATACACTACACTACTATACACTACTAAACACTACGCTATACACTACTATACACTACATTATACACCACTATACACTACACGACTATACACTGCACTACTATACACGACACTACTATACACTACACTATACACTACTATACACTACACTATACACTACTATACACTACACTATACACTACTATACACTACACTATACACTACACTACACACTAGTGCTGTACTAGTGACGAACTGGCCACGTTCTGTTGACGTGACGACCCTTACTAGTTGGCTGTGTCGGGTGGTGGCGGGTTTAACGACACAACATTTATATATTTACGCCATCCAACCCCAAGAAAACCTTGGTGGTGGTGGAGAGGTGGTGGTGGTGGAGGGGTGGTGGTGGTGGAGGGGTGGTGGTGGTGGTGGTGGAAAGGTGGTGGTGGTGGAGAGGTGGTGGTGGTGGTGGTGGAGGGGTTGTGGTGGAGAGGTGGTGGTGGTGGAGAGGTGGTGGTGGTGGTGGAGGGGTTGTGGTGGAGAGGTGGTGGTGGTGGAGAGGTGGTGGTGGTGGAGGGGTGGTGGTGGTGGTGGAGAGGTGGTGGTGGTGGTGGAGGAGTGGAGCAGCGACCTGAGTTGGATTCCAACTCACGGACAACGCCAACACCGCAGCGAAGATTCTCTCAACCAGCCTCACTTAGGTCGACTCAGCCTCAAATGAGTTCGCTGCTGCGGTGTGTAGTAAACATCGCCACTAGGGAGACAAAGGCGGCCGGGCGTGGTGCTGGCCACCCACCCCCTCGTGTGCCGTGCCGGCCTTCATAGGTGCTCGCTAACAGCACTTGCCCCTGCAGTCTGTTAAGTCTATACGGGGGATCTTTGTCTTTATATAGTGGGCACGTACCGGCTGGCTTCTGAAAAGCCCATAGCTCAGTGGGCTTTACCTGTTTAGACAAACAACAATATTGTCTCGTTTAATTTTTATTTATTTTTAAGTAATTTGTTTACCTTATCCTATACTTTGCGCTCATCTAGTGTTTTGTTTATTTTTCGATTTAAAGCTTTCGTGACTGCAATGATTCATCTTCTTTGGTTCTTTCGGTAAAGTCACGTAGAATGAGAATAAAATAATAAATTGATAAAATATTATTGTGTTATTTTATTTTATCAATTTATTATTTTATTCTCATTCTACGTGACTTTACCGAAAGAACCAAAGAAGATGTTTTGTTTATTGTTTATTGTTGTGACGTTCCGAGCCTCATAGCTCATCGGATCCCTCCAGACACACGGACAGACTCTGACTGGTGAGAGAGCGCTGGACGGTCGGGGAGCAGAGTGGCTGCGTTCATCCAGCAGTGGAGAGAACCTGGCTCCTGCTCCTGCTGCTGCTGTTGCTGCTGGGAGCTACCTCCCCCTTCCCCCCTCCCCCTCCCACCTCCCCTTACCCCTCCCCTCCCACCTCCCCTCTCCCCCCTCCCCTCTCTCTCCTCCCCTCTCCCCCCTCCCCTCTCCCCTACCCCCTCCCCTACCCCCTCCCCTTCCTCCTTCCCCCTCCCTTTCCCCCTCCCCTCTCCCCCCTCCCCTCTCCCCCTCCCCTCTCCCCCCTCCCCCCTTCCCCCCTCCCTTTCCCCCTCCCCTCTCCCCCCTTCCCCCTCCCCTACCCCCTTCCCTACCCCCTTTTCTACCCCCGCCCCCTCCCCTACCCCCTCCCCTCCCCTACCCCCTCCCCTCCCTTACCCCCTCCACTCGTCGCCTCCTAGCAACCTCCACCCCCCCAACAATCACTCCCGGCCAATAGCAACACACAAACCCCTCCCCACCGTTCATGTCAGCCAATGGGAAGCAGCGTCTCATCTTCCCACGCCGCCGCTCTCTCCCGTCACGTTTCTCGCCATTGGTTCCCCTGGGCGCGCGGCAACGTCATCTGCATAGTAAGTAGGGGGGCGTGGTTATTTTGTGAGAGGATGAGGCGGGGCCGAGGACAAAGGGGGCGGGGGCTGTAGGGGGGTGGGGGGGTGTCGCAATTACTTCAGTGAGCGTGACCAATAGAGAAGCGGTCTTTGAATAGCGGTGGGCGTGGCTACTTCGGAACGGGCGTGTCTACGTTTTAATGGGCGGGGTCACGAGGGCGTTACTGGGCGTGGCCAAGGATGTGGATGGGCGGGCTTGCGTGACAGTAGGCAGGGCGTGTTTACGAGTGGGCGGGACTTGCGCGGGTGTAGGCGGGGCTTGTATGGCAGTGGGCGGGGGTTAGCGAGAGTGGGCGGGGGCTTGCGTGAGAGTGGGCGGGGGCTTGTCGGGGAGAGAGAGAGACAGGCAGGGAAAAGTTGAATTGTAAGAAGCGTGAGAGCTGTTGCTCCTATCTCTCTACAGAGAGAGATACACGGAGAGAGGAGGGGGGGAGATACAAGGAGAGAGATACACGGAGAGAGAGCGAGAGAGCGAGAGAGGGAGGGAGGGAGACGGAGATCGAGCGAGTGAGTGTAGTGGAAGATAGCGTTGGGGGGGGGGAAGGCATTTAAACCCAGCGTGCCGTGCGCGCTCTCTCACACGGGAGGAGAGAAAGAGAGAGAGGGAGCGAGAGATTCGCGGGAGATTAACACGGAGAGAGAGATAAGGGAGAGAGATAAGGGAGAGAGATAAGGGAGAAAGATAAGGGAGAGAGATAAGGGAGAGAAGGTATTCTCGCAGATTAACGCAGGCCAAGAGAGCGAGAGATAGAGCGAGCGAGCGAGAGAGATTCCTGTAGATTATTACAGAGCGGGGGGGGGGGAGAGAGATTAAGAGAGAGCGACGGAGAGATTATTCCTTATCGTGATAGAGACGCAGTGAATAAAGGGGAGAGTGGCACGGGGGAGAGAGACAGAGAGAGAGAGAGAGGGGGAGGGAGAGATTTATCTGGAGCTGCATTGAGACAGTCGAGAGTTCGGGGAGAGTTAATAGAGTGAGGCTCTCCGCGGGGAGACTCTACAGAGAGAGAGAGAGGGGGAGCGTGAATAGAGAGATTTATAGCGGGCCTAGAGAGTCTGGAGAGAGAGTGTGGGTGGAGTAAGAAGAGGTGTGGAGAGTGAGATAGGGGTAGAGCGTGAGAGAGAGAGCGTGAGAGAGAGTGAGAGAGAGGGTGAGAGAGCGCGCGCGCACAGGGAGAGATAAGTGAGAGAGCGAAGTGGGGAGGGAGGGAGAGCGTCTTGTGAGTGCGATACAAGGAGCGGGGGGTAGAGCCAGAGAGACGTTGCGAGGAGGAGGAGGGGGACCGCCTGGACTCTGTTCCAGAGAGACGCTGCGAGGAGGAGGAGGGGGACCGCCTGAACTCTGTTCCAGAGAGACACTGCGAGGAGGAGGAGGAGGGGGACCGCCTGGACTCTGTTCCAGAGAGACGCTGCGAGGAGGAGGAGGGGGACCGCCTGAACTCTGTTCCAGAGAGACGCTGCGAGGAGGAGGAGGAGGGGGACCGCCTGGACTCTGTTCCAGAGAGACGCTGCGAGGAGGAGGAGGAGGGGGACCGCCTGGACTCTGTTCCAGAGAGACGCTGCGAGGAGGAGGAGGGGGACCGCCTGAACTCTGTTCCAGAGAGACGCTGCGAGGAGGAGGAGGGGGACCGCCTGAACTCTGTTCCAGAGAGACGCTGCGAGGAGGAGGAGGAGGGGGACCGCCTGAATTCTGCTCCAGAGAGACGCTGCGAGGAGGAGGAGGAGGGGGACCGCCTGAATTCTGCTCCAGAGAGACGCTGCGAGGAGGAGGAGGAGGGGGACCGCCTGAACTCTGTTCCAGAGAGACGCTGCGAGGAGGAGGAGGAGGGGGACCGCCTGAACTCTGTTCCAGGGAGAGATTGAGGAGAGGGAGAGAGGCGAGCGAGATCGCCGGGGAGAGAGCGAAGGGATGCCGTGCTCTCCCGCGCGCGCGCTCTTCACGCAGTGGCTGCTGCTGCTCCTGAGGGACGCGGGGAGAGCGACGGGAGAGCGCTACCTGGTCTACTGGAACACCAGCAACCCCAGGTGAGAGCGCGGAGAGAGTGCGGGAGAGAGTGCGGGAGAGAGTGCGGGGAGAGCGGGGAGAGAGCGGGGAGAGAGCGGGGAGAGAGAGGGGGGAGAGAGCGCTACCTGGTCTACTGGAACACCAGCAACCCCAGGTGAGAGCGCGGAGAGAGTGCGGGGAGAGAGTGCGGGAGAGAGTGCGGGAGAGAGTGCGGGGAGAGCGGGGAGAGAGCGGGGAGAGAGAGGGGGGAGAGAGCGCTACCTGGTCTACTGGAACACCAGCAACCCCAGGTGAGAGCGCGGAGAGAGTGCGGGGAGAGGGTGCGGGAGAGAGTGCGGGAGAGAGTGCGGGGAGAGAGCGGGGAGAGAGCGAGGAGAGAGGGGAGAGAGAGAGAATGCGGAGAGAGCGGGACCCGAGGGGAGAGAGCGGGGAGAGGGAGAGAGAGGGGGGAGAGAGCGCTACCTGGTCTACTGGAACACCAGCAACCCCAGGTGAGAGCGCGGAGCGAGAGAGAGTGCGGGGAGAGGGCGGGGAGAGAGCGGGGAGAGAGAGTGCGGAGAGAGCGGAACCCGAGGGGAGAGTGTGGGGAGAGCGGGGAGAGAGGGGGGAGAGAGCGCTACCTGGTCTACTGGAACACCAGCAACCCCAGGTGAGAGCGCGGAGCGAGAGGGAGAGCGGGGAGAGAGAGCGGGGAGAGAGGAGAGAGAGAGAGAGCGGGGGGAGAGTGCGGTACCTGGGAGAGAGAGTGCGGAGAGAGAGCGGTACCTGGGGGAGAGTGTGGTACCTGGGGGAGTGTGAGGTACCTGGGGGAGTGTGAGGTACCTGGGGGAGAGAGCGGTACCTGGGGGAGAGAGCGGTACCTGGGGGAGAGTTCGGTACCTGGGGGAGTGAGCGGTACCTGGGGGAGTGTGAGGTACCTGGGGGAGTGTGAGGTACGTGGGGGAGTGTGAGGTACCTGGGGGAGTGAGCGGTACCTGGGGGAGAGAGCGGTACCTGGGGGAGAGTGTGGTACCTGGGGGAGTGAGCGGTACCTGGGGGAGAGAGCGGTACCTGGGGGAGAGAGTGGTACCTGGGGGAGAGAGCGGTACCTGGGGGAGAGTTCGGTACCTGGGGGAGAGAGCGGTACCTGGGGGAGAGTGAGGTACCTGGGGGAGAGAGCGGTACCTGGGGGAGAGTGAGGTACCTGGGGGAGAGAGCGGTACCTGGGGGAGAGTTCGGTACCTGGGGGAGTGAGCGGTACCTGGGGGAGAGTGTGGTACCTGGGGGAGAGAGCGGTACCTGGGGTAGAGTTCGGTACCTGGGGGAGTGAGCGGTACCTGGGGGAGAGTGAGGTACCTGGGGGAGAGAGCGGTACCTGGGGGAGAGTTCGGTACCTGGGGGAGAGTTCGGTACCTGGGGGAGAGTGTGGTACCTGGGGGAGAGAGCGGTACCTGGGGGAGAGTTTGGTACCTGTGGGAGAGTGTGGTACCTGGGGGAGAGTGTGGTACCTGGGGGAGAGTTCGGTACCTGGGGGAGAGTTCGGTACCTGGGGGAGAGTGTGGTACCTGGGGGAGAGTGTGGTTCCTGGGGGAGAGTGTGGTACCTGGGGGAGTGTGAGGTACCTGGGGGAGTGTGAGGTACGTGGGGGAGTGTGAGGTACCTGGGGGAGTGAGCGGTACCTGGGGGAGAGAGCGGTACCTGGGGGAGAGTGTGGTACCTGGGGGAGTGAGCGGTACCTGGGGGAGTGAGCGGTACCTGGGGGAGAGAGCGGTACCTGGGGGAGAGTGTGGTACCTGGGGGAGTGAGCGGTACCTGGGGGAGAGAGCGGTACCTGGGGGAGAGAGTGGTACCTGGGGGAGAGTTCGGTACCTGGGGGAGAGAGCGGTACCTGGGGGAGAGTGAGGTACCTGGGGGAGAGAGCGGTACCTGGGGGAGAGTGAGGTACCTGGGGGAGAGAGCGGTACCTGGGGGAGAGTTCGGTACCTGGGGGAGTGAGCGGTACCTGGGAGAGAGTTCGGTACCTGGGGGAGAGTTCGGTACCTGGGGGAGAGTGTGGTACCTGGGGGAGAGAGCGGTACCTGGGGGAGAGTTTGGTACCTGTGGGAGAGTGTGGTACCTGGGGGAGAGTGTGGTACCTGGGGGAGAGTTCGGTACCTGGGGGAGAGTTCGGTACCTGGGGGAGAGTGTGGTACCTGGGGGAGAGTGTGGTTCCTGGGGGAGAGTGTGGTACCTGGGGGAGTGTGAGGTACCTGGGGGAGTGAGCGGTACCTGGGGGAGAGTGTGGTACCTGGGGGAGTGTGAGGTACCTGGGGGAGAGAGCGTGGCGGGGAGAGTGCCGGCGGAGAGGTGAGAGAGGGAGAGTGCGCGGGGAGTATTGTGTGCTTGGAGTGCGGGATGGAGAGACGGAGAGATCGATGGATGCGTGTGAGAGACGGGGGGGGGGGTGTGGAGAGTGAGGTGGAAGTGAGAGAGATGTGGGAGAGAGATGGGGGAGAGGTGGAGAGGTGGGGGAGAGAGGTGGAGAGAGACGGGGGGGGGGGGTGTGGAGAGTGAGGTGGAAGTGAGAGAGATGGGGGAGAGGTGGAGAGGTGGGGGAGAGAGGTGGAGAGAGATGGGGGAGGGAGATGGGGGGGGAGAGAGATGGGGGGGGGGAGAGGTGGAGAGATGTGGGAGAGAGATGGGGAGAGGTGGAGAGGTGGGGGAGAGAGGTGGAGAGAGATGGGGGAGGGAGATGGGGGGGGGGAGAGAGATGGGGGGGGAGAGGGGGAGAGATGTGGGAGAGAGATGGGGAGAGGTGGAGAGGTGGGGGAGAGAGGTGGAGAGAGATGGGGGAGACAGATGGGATGATAGACACAGGGAGACGGTGAGACGTGGAGAGACGTGGAGAGATGGAGAGAGAGGTTGAGAGAGCTTTAGGGAGCGCGTGTGTGTGAGAGATCAAAGATGGGAGAGAGAGCGAGAGCGAGAGATGTGGCGATAGATGGTGTGTGGGTGAGAGAGACGGAGATACATACATGGGGAGAGAGAGAGAGAGAGGGGGGGGCATATCGGGAGAGATTGGGAGTGTGTGTGTGTGTGTGAGAGAGATGGAGAGTGGAGGGGGTGGGAGATGGATGGGGAGAGTGAAAGATGGAGATGGTAAGAGGCGTTAAAGAGAGATGGAGACAGTGAGAGATGTGGAGTGCGAGGTGGAGCGAGACCTACGGGGGAGAGTGGCAGAGAGATTGGGAGAGAGTGTGTGTGTGAGATATGGCCAATGTGAGAGATAGATGGGGGAGAGATAGGGATAGTGAGAGAGAGAGAGTGTGAGAGAGATGGGGAGAGCTAAAGACGTATGGAGAGATAGGGAGACATGGTAAGAGATGGAGAGTGTGCGAGATGGTGAAAGAGATATGCAGAGATAAGTGAGATAGATGTGGAGAGTGAATACTGCATTAGAGAGGCATAGGGAGAGTTGCAGAGAAAGATGCAGAGAGTAATGGGGGGGGGGGGGGGGGGGGGGGTGAGATGGAGAGCGAGGGATGGAGAGCGTGAGAGAGAGTGTGCGGTGTAGTAAACATCGCCACAGGGGAGACAAAGGCGGCCGGGCGTTCTGCTGGCCACCCATTCCCTCGTGTGCCGTGCCGACCTTCATAGGTGCTAGCTAGGGCACTTGTCCCCACAGTCTTCTAAGGCCATACGGGGGTGGGGGGGGGGCATTGTCTTTGTGTGCGTGTGTGTCTGCCCGGAGTGTCCATGAGTGATCGTGTGAGTTTGAGAGGGAGAGAGGATGCTTGCTTGCGTGTGTGAGAGGGACTGAATTCATGGCGAGCGAATTCAAGAGAGAGGCGTGAATTCGAGAGAGAGAGTAAATTAAAGTGTGTGAATTCGAGAGAGCGGTTGAGAGAGCGTGAGAGCGTGAGAGAGAGAGTGTTAGAGAGTGATCATGTATGGTCCCCGGTTGAGAGAGCGTGAGAGCGTGAGAGAGAGAGTGTTAGAGAGTGATCATGTATGGTCCCTGGGATGTGAGAGAGTGTGAGAGAGAGGGTTGGAGAGTGATCATATTATTCTACCTGTGATGGTGAGAGTGTGAGCGAGAGCGTAGGGGAGAGGGTTGGAGAGTTATCATATTATTCTACCTGTGATGGTGAGAGTGTGAGAGAGAGATGGTTAGAGAGAGAGAGAGATGGTTAGAGAGTGATCATGTATTGTCCCTGGGATGTGAGAGAGTGTGAGAGAGAGGGTTGGAGAGTGATCATATTATTCTACCTGTGATGGTGAGAGTGTGTGAGAGAGCGTAGGGGAGAGGGTTGGAGAGTGATCATTTTATTCTACCTGTGATGGTGAGAGTGGGAGAGAGAGCGTAGGGGAGAGCGTGAGAGAGAGATGGTTAGAGAGTGAACATATTATTATACATATGATGGTGAGAGTGTGTGAGAGAGAGCGTAGGGGAGAGGGTTGGAGAGTGATCATATTATTCTACCTGTGATGGTGAGGGTGTGTGAGGGAGCGTAGGGGAGAGGGTTAGAGAGTGATCATATTATTCTACCTGTGATGGTGAGAGCGTAGGGGAGAGCGTAGGGGAGAGGGTTAGAGAGTGATCATATTATTCTACCTGTGATGGTGAAAGTGTGTGAGAGAGCGTAGGGGAGAGGGTTAGAGAGTGATCATATTATTTTACCTGTGATGGAGAGAGCGTGAGAGAGAGCGTAGGGGAGAGGGTTAGAGAGTGATCATATTATTCTACCTGTGATGGAGAGAGCGTGAGAGAGAGCGTAGGGGAGAGGGTTAGAGAGTGATCATATTATTCTACCTGTGATGGTGAGAGCGTAGGGGAAAGTGTTGGAGAGTGATCATATTATTCTACCTGTGATGTAGAGAGCGTCGGGGAGAGCGTGTGAGAGAGAGAGAGACACACAGCTTTAGAGGGTGACGATATATTCTCCCTGTGAGAGAGTGCTAAGAGCTCTTCAATCACACAGCGACATTGAGGAGAACGAGGAGAGACGGAGAGAGAGAGAGGCAAGGGACCTGGGGGAGCGTAAAGCAAGAGAAGAGGGGA